GAACAGAATCCTAACCTGTTTCCTGGATTTAAGTTTTAAGCCAAGTTCCTTAGCATTTCTTTGATTTAAGTTAAAACTGGTTTTCTTAATAGTACCAAGGGAACTTGCTATTGAAAATAGATTATTTTTGTGTGATCAATACAATCTGGGGGGGAAATGAATGGAAGACAATTGTAGACACCAGAGATAGTGTGAGAAGACGGTAGGAAAGGACAGAGGGTCAGAAAGAGGGGTAAAAATAATTCTAGGAACTAGAAATGGAAAATTTTTTTTGAAAATTTTGATAATAACATGCATGATTAAGCCACTATGCAGTATATTCTGGATGGGAAATCACATTTTGTATGTTGCGACGATGCTTAAGGAATGAATGTAAATTAAGTTGAAAAAATGGTTCAGAAAAAAACCTAAAATTGTTTTTCTTGAAATTAAAAAAAATGCATTAAAAATACCCATTCGATGACTGCAGTAAGATAAATAGTCCCAGCTAGGTGCTACTTTATAAGATGCTCATTCTACTCACTGAGGTTTATTCCTTGGACTTGACGATGCTTAAGGAATGAATGTAAATTAAGTTGAAAAAATGGTTCAGAAAAAAACCTAAAATTGTTTTTCTTGAAATTAAAAAAAATGCATTAAAAATACCCATTCGATGACTGCAGTAAGATAAATAGTCCCAGCTAGGTGCTACTTTATAAGATGCTCATTCTACTCACTGAGGTTTATTCCTTGGACTTGAGTTCATGGAAATGTATCTATCAGCTGTGCTTGCTATGAAAATATTTAGATTAATTAAGATCGTTAGTGACTCAATAAAATGTGTGTGTGGGGGAAGTATAGAAAGCAAACATAGATACCAGAGACAGTGTGGGAGAAGAGTGGGAGATGGCAGAAGGTAAGAGATAGGGAATCAAGGATGGGGAAAAAGCAAAACATACAGGAAGCAAGAAATGGAAAATTATTTGTTGATGATAACATGTATGTTGATGTGCTAGATTGAGCCAATATACAGTGTATTCTGGATGGAAAATCTCATTTTATATGCTGTAATGATATACAGTGAATGAATGTAAATAAACAAATTTAAATAAAAAATAAAGGAAAAAATCCTCAATGGCTGGTGACTCATCTTTTTTATCATTATATCCTCAACCATATACAGTGTTCAAGTCATTTGATAAATGAGATCTTGTATTATAAACTATGGTTTCCTATGTATCTTTTTGCGGATGAGTCTGTACACACTTGTAACATTTTTTTTTTCAAGTCTCCTACACCATCACTAAAAAGATCAATAGATACTAAAATGAAAAAAAAAATTTGAAAAATCAAGTTCTTAGGAACCTAGGAGATACCTCAGGTCTAGTGTGTGTGTGTGTGTGTGTGTGTGTGTGTGTGTGGTGTGGTGTGTGCGTGTGTGGTATGTGTGTGTGTGTTGGTGGGTAAGGGCTGGGCATGTGCAATTGCCTTGTTTAATCAGAGTAGCTCTTCTTGGTTTGTTTTCTACATCATAATTCTGGATAAGATTTTACACCAGAAAGAATAGCATCAATATGATTTAAATGGCAGCAACTTTGGCAGCAAAGCAGAAGAAATGAGAGCCAGCTGTTACATTAACTGACTAAAAGCTAATGAAGACAGAACTGATCCAATCAATTAGAGCAAAACTGAACACCACTTGATAATATGTGAAATCCAATTAGTTAAAAAAAATCAGTAATCGGAACCAATTGTTCATATTTCAATGGCTTTTGCCTGAAGAGAACCTACCTCCTTTCTTTCCCTGGCTTACATCTGGGACTAAAAGCTAAGAAGCCTTTGAAATGGATGGGCTCAATTGATCTTCTCAGGTGGTAGACAATGTTACTGTTGTCCTGGCTGATGACATGTGAGTGGAAGTGGTGTGTGTTAGTCAATGCTGAGGTGGTAAAAAGCTGATGCACAGTTCTATTGACTTTCTCTTTCTGCCATAGTGGCCCAGAAAGCTTTAGACAGTGCACTCACAAGATGGCGAGTTGCTCACTTCATGTCCCGGGTGGTTGTTCAGGACAGAGTACCCTCCCTAACAACCATGGCTGTGCAACAGATTGTGAGAAATTTTGGTGTTTTTTAATTAATGATATTTTATGGTTACTTTGTTATAGCAGCAAAACCTAATACCCATGGAGAGGAAATCTAGAAAGTCCAGGAAGGCTTTCCAAGATGAAACTCAAAGGGGCTGACTAGAAAAGCAGAGCTAGAAGCACGGAAGGAAATGGGAACATGGTGAAGTGGGGAAGGGCATTAGAAACAGATGGCAGAAGCAGCAGTATGATTTCTTGGAAAACATGTGGATTGAGATTTACAGTCCAAATAGTTTTCACTATTTTCTCTTTGACTTTGAACAAGTTGCCAGTCTCTCTTACTTTCCTCATCTACAAAGCATAATGTCTACATTATAGGGTTGCCAAAAAGATTAAATTATACATGTATATAGGTAGCATTTAGCACAGTATCTAACAATTGATAATCGCTAAACCTAGGTGCTCATTCTCTCTATTCCTTCTATTTCTAAACTTTGCTACACTTTGATACATAATGAATTCTGTAACTGGGACTCTAAACTTTATAGTCCTCACTCCAAGGTCTGCATTCCTTATATTCCTATTAGGGTATGAAACTAAATGAGAATAATGCCAAATTCTCTGGCATCTCACTGAGCTACACTAAGACTCTGAAGAGGAAACCATGACGGGGTATGATGTCTAAGCATGGATGAGCTGGTGGGTCTAGTGTAGAGCAGGGGTCCCCAATCCCAGCCAGGGACTTGGTCTGTAGTCTGTTGGAGGCTGATCTGATCTGGAGTGGGGCTTTGTCTGTGTTTGCAGCTGCTCCCCATTGCTCACATTGTCACCTGGGGTCCATTTCCTGTTGGATCAGGGGTAGTACTGAATGCAGACCCTACTGTGTAATTGTTTCATTGTATATTGCAATGTGGTAATGGTTGAAATGGGGTAAACGGTGGTTGTGGTGCATTTGGGTCACTTGGGATGAACCTCCTTCTCCATCCCCACTGCCATGGGCTGGTGAAGGGGTTGTCTTCCATAAAGCCAGTCCCTGGCGCCAGGAGGGTGGGGACCACTGGTCTAGAGGGACTAACAGTGTCAGTTCTTTACTGACATTTCAGCTCCTTTCTGTCTGGCTTCAAGTAAAGGCAGCCTCCTGTTCTGTCTTCTCAGCCCACAGTCTCCTTGGCACACTCCATCCTGTCATCCTGGCCTCCAAGAAATACTTTATTTAAAAGAAACTTTACTATAAACTAAAGAGAAACCATTAAGTCAAAAATTATAACATAAAACAAAGAATCACATGGATTGACCGAACAAGCTCTCATCTAGAGTAAACTGGGAGTAACCAATGAGAGATGCCTGGAGGGCTAGAGGTCCCCATCAACATATCCTGCCATATATTGGACAGGCAGAAATCATCACAGCCCAAAGCCTCCATCTTGGATTTCAGTGAAAAAAGTTCCCTTGAGCCCACCTTAGTTGAGTTTAAGGACAGAGTCTTAATTTTTGTATTATAAGAAGTCCTTGACTGGAGAGAATATGCAGAACTAATTATGTTTTTTAAAAGCAGGCGTAAGATTGAAACACAAGAAAAGTTAAGTACTATCCGAATGCCTTGGAACCCCGGACTTTCAAAGGGAAGCTGGCTAAGGAGGCCGTGGAGGAGAAAGCCTGAGAACAGTATGAAGAGGGTCCCACGCCCACAGGGGCCACGGTGCACTCACCGACTTGCAGGCGTGCTAGCTATGAATGCTTGTGTTTCCTTGGCTTCTTACCTCCTTTACTCTCCACTGCTTAAAGCTGGGCTGTTCGGACCCTTCACGCAGTCTTTGTGTTCTAAGGGTAGTGAACGAAGGGTCATTTGTTTTGGAAAAAATCAGGGAGAACACTTTAATGTGGGAAGCAGTCAAACCTGGGGGTACAACGCTCCTTTCCAGCAATAAGGAAGTTCTGAGGACGCCTGTGCAGACGCCTGAGAAATCCCACTGGGTTCAGCCATGGGCGACTGAGAGTAAGTTCTTCCCGCTGGCCCCTCCTGAGGCGGCCAAGAGCTCTCAGTCTATTTGCAGAGGCGAGAAGATGGACAGACTCTGAGCCCAATGGGCATCGAGCCCGACGGACTGGCGAGCCCAGCCGGGCCGCGGTCCCTACCCAGGCCACGGTCCCTCTCCTGCACCCCTCGAGCTCCCGCTCTGCCAATGGCTAACGAATGAGAAAACGATCCCAAAAGACATCCACAGACGGGCGGACCCGCTTTTATTCCGAGACGATGCTCCTGCTGCCGGACCCCTGTATTGCACTCCCGCAGCTTCCCGGCGTGCAGCACTCATTCGCAAACTCCGTCCTAGCCCCCTCCCATGTCTCCCCTTCTCCAGCTCCCACCTCGGTCGGGGTTCCCCCGAGTAGGCCGCGAGGCCTGGGGCCGACTCGCCTCTCCACGCCTGCCCGCCGCTCCGCAGGCCCCACTTTCCCTTTCGGTCTCGGGGG